AAAAAAAAAAAAAAAAAAAATCACTAACATGATACATTGTATTTTATGTATATTCCACCACTATAAAAAGCCAAGTTATAGAAGTAATTGTTATTAAAATTTCTAGTGTTTTATTAGGTTGTTTTTATATTTAAAAGTTTTGGGGATTTTTTCCCTTTTTTTAATGTTTCAGGTCTGAATTGAGAATTTTGAAGATTTTGGAGCAGTTTTCTTTGAGTTTCATTTTTCCCTATCTTCTCTCAATTTGTTTTCCTTTCTTTCCCAGGAAGAGTATTGAAAATGTACCTTTTACCTTTGGTTTTTTAGCTGTCTTCCTAATCACAGTATTTGGAGTCTTTAAATAATCACAGTATTTGCAGTCACTCTACCCTGTCACCCTGGATAGAGTGCTATGGTATCACAGCTCATGGTAACCTCAGACTCTTGGGCTTAAGCAATTCTCTTGGCTAAGCCTCCCAAGTATTGTGTTTCCCCGAAAATAAGACCTACCCACTAAATAAGCCCTAGCAAGATTTCTATGCATTTGTTAAATATGAGATACTACTAAATAATAAGACCTAGTGATGGGTGTGGCTCTGCATAGCCATGCATTTCAGCACTGAGCAGTAAGGAAGACTGGAATACCTTTTATCTGCCACAGCACCTTTCTCCCAGCTGAGCCATTCGCATTTGCACTGTGTGGTAACTGCGGTCACAGGCATCCTATTGCGCACGTGCCAACGGCTAGGGGAAAGGAGTTCACGGATCACTAGCTCTAGTCCCACCAACAAGGTCGGCTCCCCCTGTCAGGTTCCAGAAGAAGATGACTTAACTGTATTTGAATAAATGTAGATTGTTGTATTATACTTAAGAAAAATAAGACATCCTCTGAAAATAAGTCCTAGTGTGTCTTGAGGAAAAATAAACATAAGACAGTGTCTTATTTTCGAGAAAACACAGTAGCTGGGACTACAGGTGCCCACCTTAATTCTGGCTGTGGCTATTTTTTTGTTGTTGTAGTTGTCATTGCTTGGTAGGCCCAGTCTGGATTCGAACTTTTTTTTTACAGTTTACTCTTCTCCACCTAATTTTTTCTTTCTAATCAGACAAAATCAAGTCAAGCACTTTGAACTTCAATTAAGCTGCTAAATAAGTATCTCATTCTAAAATATTCCACTGCCTAGCTCTTTGACTTCTATTTCTAGTGTTCTGCCTATGGCTGTCTTTACACTTTAATTCAAATAATGTTGATTTGAAAATAACTTTGGGTCATTTACTCTTGTCTTTTTCATGCTAAATTTGCTTAAACTTCTTTGAAAAGGAGAAAATTGAACTTCTAGGAAAGCCATCTATTACTTAAAGAATACTTAAAGAATAAGACTCACAGTTATATCCCAGCCCATGGTATTGTAAATTCACCCATGTAGGTTATTGGATCCAATTTCCCAACAAAGTTTTTGTCATGCTTGACCTTTCTACTGGTAGCATTTCTTGGGAATTTGAAAATTGGTATTTTGGGTTACACACACCTTTTCTTTGTTACTGTTTTTGGATCCTTTACTTAAGGTAATAGAGATGTTCTTTTTTCTTTAAAAAAAAATTTTTTTTTTTTTTTTTGAGACAGAGTCTCACTTTTTTGCCCTTGGTAGAGTGCTATGGCGTCATAGCTCACAGCAACCTCAAACTCTTGGACTTAAGCAGTCCTCTTGCCTCAGCCTCCCGTGTAGCTGGGACTACAGGCACCCAACACAACACCTAGCTATTTTTTGAGATGGGGGTCTTGCTCTTGCTCAGGCTAATCTCAAACCTGGGAGCTCAGGGCAATCCACCTGCCTCAGACTCCTAGAGTGCTAGGATTATAGGCGGGAGCCACCTCCCCCAACCCTTTTTAAAGCATTTTTTAGCAATGGTGTCTTGCCATGTTGCCCATTCTGGTCTTGAACTACTGGGCAAAACGATATTCCTGCCTCAGGCTCCTAACTGGGACTGTCAGAGTTGAGTTCTTTACCAATTAAAATGCCATTGGAAAGTCCTTTGGAATATTTGGTAAAATAAATTCAGTTTAGAGGAAAACACATGTTGAAAAATTTTATGCATTTATGTATTTTCTGGGGAGTGAATCTATAACTTTTTCCAGATTTCTAAAGAAATCTTACCTAGAAAATGTTTATAGCATTAATTTATAACTATTATAAATTAATTTATGCAACTAGTTAGCATACTGAGCACACAGTAAAAACTTGACAAATGTTAATATTGAGTAATTACCTTGTGCAGAGAAGAGTGGAGGGTAAATGATATGAAAGAATTAGGCAGGGGCTGGATCATGTCGTATTTTATAGGACATGGTAGATAACATTTATAGATTTTACCTGGGGAAAAGTTCTTTAAGCTGAAGAGTGACATGAACTGATTGACATTTTTATTTATTTATTTATTTATTTTTGAGACAGAGTCTCAGTATGTAGCCCTGGGTAGAGGAGTCACAGCTCACAGCAACCTCAAACTCTTGGGCTTAACACCTGGCTATTTTTTTTGTTGCATTTGTCACTGTTGATTTTAGCTGACCCAGGCTGGGTTCGAACTCACCAGCCTCGGTGTATGTGGCTGGTGCCCTACCCACAGACCTATAGGTGCTGCCTGATTGACATTTTTAATAAGTCAGTTCTGGATACTTTGTGGAGAATAGATGGGGGGGATAAAAATGGGAGCAGGGAGATCTGCTAACAGGTTATTAAGGTAGTCCAAGACAGAGATGTTGGATAAATTTCGTTTCCAGGTGTATTTCCAGAGTTAGAAACTAGTAGGTTTACTGATGGATGGGTTATGGAAGGGTGAAAGAAAAAAAGAAGCATGAAGGATGACATCTGGGTTTTTGATTTGATAATTGGGGTTCACCAAGGTGCAATTTTTCTTGAGATAGAGAAAATCTTGGGAGAGTATGGTTTTGAACACATAGGTTTGAGTGGTTTTTCATACATGTAAGTAGAAAAAGATGTCAAGTAGCCACTTGGACATGCAGAAATTCAGGAGAAAGGTTGGGACTCGGAATATAAATATGTAGTCATTGGCACATATATGAAGGTAAAGGCTATGAGACTAAATGAAATAGAAAGGGGAGCCAGCGAAGGATGGAGCCTGAGTGGAGGGGGAGAATGAAGAAGGAAGAGTCTATGAAGTGGAAGAAAGACTAGCATGGTAGTTTCATAGAAACTGGGAGTAGTGTTTCAAGGAAGACGGTCAGTGTATGCTGTAAAGAAGTCATATAAGAGAGAACCAAGGTGTGACCACTGGATCCAGCAACACAGGATATAGATGACCTTGACAACAGCAGTTTCTGTGTATTTAGGGATAGAAGTCTGATTATCATAGGTTAAGGAGACAGTGTGAGGTGAAGTGGAAACAACAGAATAGAAAATTCAAGATGAAGGGGGTATGGAGGAGATCATAGGGTCAAGGAGGAGTTAGTTTTTGTTTTTTGTTTTTTTTTTTTTAATGCGCGGAAATTCTAGAGTAGTCTTGTGTTCTGTTCAGCATGAGCCTGTAGAAGGTAGAGATTGCTGGTACAAGAGAAAGGGGATTATTCAAGATGAAGTTGGCTGGCATGGTGGCTCACACCTGTAATCCTAGCATTCTGGGACACTGAGGCAGGTAGATTGCCTGAGCTCACAGGTTCCAGACCAGCCTGAGCCTGAGTGAGACCTCGTCTCTAAAAATAGCCAGGTGTTGTGGTGGGTGCCTGTAGTCCCAGCTACTTGGAAGGTTAAGGCAAGAGAATCACTTGAGCTCAAGAGTCTGAGGTTGCTATACGCTATGACAGCCATAGCACTGTACCAGGAGCGACCAAGTAAGACTGTATCTCAAAAAAAAAAGATGATGTCCTTGATAAAGTGACAGAAGATGGCATCCAGAGCCCTACCAGAGGAGTTTCTCTTTCCTGGGAGTGGGATACCTAATCATAATAGGAAAGTATAAGAGTATGAATGAAGATACAAATGGATTCACCGATACTCATTTTTCTTAATACCCCGATAAAAATATCATTCCCATTTTATAGATTGGAAGAATGAGATTTGATGAAGGAGAATGATTTGTTTATATTATGTCATAGCCTGGTTGCACCAGTAGTTATAGAACTCAAATCTCTATAGACTTCCAGGTGAGTGATCTAGTTTATGTGCTTTGAAAGTCAAATGTCATGAAATATAAATTAATGTGTTTCATATCTTCTTGGTTCATCTGGGTGTTCTAGGGACAGATCTGGAAGCTTCTCTGCTAAGTTTTGAAAAACTTGACCGTGCCTCACCAGATCTTTGGCCAGAACAATGTAAGTTTTCCTTTCTTTATATCAGAATCAATGTAAAAGAACCAGTACTCCTTTGGGAGGTTTTTGAAGAGTTTTTATTTAACTAATGATTAAAGTTTTAATTTTACTTCAAAGGGAAAACACAAGTCCAATGCTAAGAATAGCTCTCTGGTGGTTTAATTTTTTTCCAGAATACAGTGTGATTCAAGAAATAAAGAGCCTAAGAATACTTATTTTAAAAAAGCTATAACTGGACAGCACCTGTGGCTCAGTGAGTAGGGCTCTGGCCCCACATACTGAGGGTGGTGGGTTCAAACCTGGCCTGGCTGAACTGCAACAAAAAAATAGCCAGATGTTGTGGCAGGTGCCTGTAGTCCCAGCTACTCAGGAGGCTGAGGCAAGACAATCACCTAATCCCAGGAACTGGAGGTTGCTGTGAGCTATGTGATGCCACGGCACTCTACCAAGGGCAATAAAATAAGACTCTGTCTCTACCAAAAAAACCCCCAAAAACTATAACTGTGGCCAGCCCACATACACCAGGGCTGGCGGGTTCGAACCTGGGCCTGGGCCTGCTAAACAACATTGATAATTGTAACAACAACAACAACAAAAATAGGGGCAGGGTTGTAGCTCAGTAGGGTAGGGCACCGGCCACATACACCAAGGCTGGTGGGTTTGAACCCAGCCTGGCCAGCAACAATGGCAACTGCAACAACAAAAAAAATAGCCAGATATTGTGGCAGGTGCCTGTAGTCCCAGCTACTTGGGAGGCTGAGGCAAGAGAATCACTTAAACCCAAGAGTTTGAGGTTGCTGTTAGCTGTCACGCCACCATACTCTACCAAGAGCGACATAATAAGAGACTCTGTCTCTACAATAAAAAAACCCAAAAAACTGTAACTGTAATAAATTCAGGTAATAGATACATAAAGCATTTCCTTACCTCCTTCAGTCACTTTTGACCACTGTTAATACCTTGTTAATGTTTATATGGATAAGTAAATAAGTTTATTTATGTTTATAGAGGGTTTGTTTGGTTTTTTTTTTAATAATGACAAGAGTCATACATACGGTCTGCAGCTTAACTTACTCTACTAGTAATTTATTATAAACGAATCTTTACTCCACACCCAGAGACAGAGTCCGCTCTGGGTAGAGTGCCGTGGCATCATACCTCGCAGCAACCTCCAACTCAGGCTCAAGGGATCCTCTTGCCTCAGTTTTTCTATTTTTAGTAGAGATGGGGTCTTGTTTTTGCTCAGGTTGGTCTCAAACTCATGAGCTCAAGGAATCCATCTGCCTAAGCCTCCCAGAATGGAATCTTTCCATCTTAGTCTATGTAGGTCTACTTCATTCTTTTAAATTTATTTTATTGTATAGATATACTATAGTTTATGTATTTATACCTTATTTGGAAACCAAATTTATATCCAATTTTTGATTCTATGAACAATTTATCATTGAATATCCTTGCATATATATCTTTGTTTATATATGGAAGATATATAATCATGGAAGAAGATGACTGTGTGGTAGTATCTATTTCCTCACATACTAGCCAATGTTGGATGTTACTAATCTTTATTATTTTTAGTTTGTATTTCTTCTTTTAGCGAGGTTAAACACTATTTCATTTTTAAATATCTGATTTTTTTTTTGGCTGGGGCTAGGTTTGAACCTACCACCTCTGGTATATGGGGCCAGTGCCCTACTCCTTTGAGCCACAGGCGCCACTCTAAATATCTGATTTTTTTTTTACTTTTTAATGTGATTTTTCCTTTGAGATATTTAAATAAATAATTAGATTGCTAGGACAGCATGCCTAAAAAGGAAGTTTAATCTTTCTGGTAAGAAATATTGTATCTTACTACCCTTCCAACCAGCCAACTCCTGGTCCTTCAAAGTTGAGGCCTTATTTTCTCTAAGAAGCTTTTCTTGCCTGGGTCTGATTGAGATTTTCCTTTTTTAGTCCTCCATAGCACCAGCTATCTTTCTTGGATTGCTTAAACAATAGTACAGATACTGATTTATTCTCTTTCCTCTTTCAAACTATAAGCTCCTGAGGGCACGAGGAGCTTATTATTTGTATCCTCTATGCCAAAGTACTCAAATATTGAATGAATAATTTTTTTTTTCTTTTTAGTACCAGGTGTTGCTGAATTTGCAGCTTCCTTCAAAAGTGTAAGTAATATTCCATTTACCTTATGAAGTTCATCCTAAGTTTTTCTCCTGAGTAAAAGCTCACATCTCTCTTGCGTCTTCATTTCCAAGAATAGTGTTATAGCCGTCAAATCATTTTATAACTATAACCTTATAAATTCGTTTATATTGTCATCATGTTCATTGATGATTGTGCCTGCCTCTGTCTAGATGCTCTATTTTGCTTTTGTCTATTAACCTTTTTTGTCAACCTGAAAACTTTGTAAGGTAAGGCAGTTGAAATATTTATTGTAATACCCAAGTGAGTATTCTTTTTGCCCACACTATAATTTCAAAGCTTTTCACTTTTGTTTATGTGGTTAGTTTTGACCTTAACTTCCACCTCCTTAGTGGATTTTGAAAATTCTCCCAATTAGGAAAATATGATGATAATAATATTGGTGAACACTTGTACCAATGTGCTGCACACTCTTCTAAGTACTTTATGTATATTATTTAACCTTCACAAAGCATATGAGGTATAAATACTATTACCATTTTCAGGAAATAGGCATAGACAGGTTAAGTAAGTTACTCAAGGTTATAGGCTAACTGTAAGTGGCAGAACCAAGTTTTGAACCCATTAGTCTGATTACTAGTATCTTTTTTTTTTAACATTCATTTTATTTTATTTTATTTTTAAATGGTAACTATGTACATTAATGCAATTCTGGTGTACAGTGTGGTGTTTTCATA